GATTGCGGTGACGCGCTCAGTTCTGTTGTAGGCCCAATAGAGGGAGATATAGTTGGAGCTTGCGTTGGTTCGGAGCTTGGTTGTGCGCTCGGTGGTAGAGAAATWACTGCTCCTGGTATATTTTCCGCAACTTGTCGGGCGAACTCTCCTGAAACAACACTACCTTCGATCTTCTCCTTGGTAAGAACTGTATCAATACCTGTAACTGGGGGAGCTGTCACAGTGTTGGTAGAAGAATAGCATTTCTTTCCATCTACATTAGTATCGAACTTGGTGGAAACGCATTCCTCCTCTGCTACGATCACGTCCACCACAGCAACGCCCTCCTTCGTTGCTCTTGACACACCCGAAAATGCAAGATCTCGAAGAATTATCGCTCTGAAGACTTCGGTTATTTCGTCAATTGTTGTATCTGCATCAAATGCCCCGTTGATTACAAATGTGGTCGAAGGGGTTTCAGTTGGTGCTTGTGATTCAGTTGGAGCTTGAGAGGGAGAGCTCGTAGTAGGAGTCGCTGACGGAGAGTATGTTTCACCTTTAAAAGTTGGCAACTGGCTAATGGTTGGAGCTGGTGAAGGAAGTGTCGAAGGCTGAACGCTTGGTAAAGAAGTTGGAGTGAAAGAAGCAGACRCACTTGGATTCGTCGAAGGAAAACTAGAGGGTACATGCGATGGACTATCGGTTGCAAAGCTATAGCAAGCATTGCATTTCTTTGGGCAAAAGTCGTAAACACGTTTGTTTTCACCTGCCTTCTTGTTGCAGAGCCGTTTCTTCACATTTTTGCATGACTTCTTCTTGCCCTTGAACTTAAACCTCGGCGAGTCCTTGCACGAGCATCGCAGATTGCATGCAGAAGGACAGAAACTGCTGAGTCGAGTGTTGGATCTCTGGTTCTTCTTCTTCTTGCATCGCCTTGTTGGACGTTTCTTCACCCATTCGCAATCCTTGCTGGCGTTGCCTCTGAACTTGAAKTTAGTGTCATCAGAATAGCAGAAACGTTCCACTTCGGAAGTTGGTGAAGACGTTGGTACTGACGATGGAGTAGATGACGGAACAATACTGTACGAGTCGCATGCTGAATTRCATGCAAGGGGACAGTAGAAAGAAACCTTTTGGTTGCTCTTGTTATCCTTCCTCTTGCATCTCTTGCGCTTCTTTCGGGCTGCCCAAGCACAGTTTTTTTTCTTGTTGCCATTCAAAAAAAAAGATTCGTCGTTTACGCATTGAAGAAACGTAGGCGATGATGTTGGGGCAACTTGAGAAGATTTTGCGGGACGAGTTATCGCTTCTTTCAGCGGGCTTGATCCCACTGTTCCAAGCAGAATAGGAAAGAGGTAGGAAATCTTTCGCATCTTAGAGAGACCTGTAGAAAYAYCATTGTTRAAGTCGAAATCAAATACGGCTCTGATAAGGCACAGGCATCGACAAGGAATCAAGTTTTGACATCTGCTGGARCAGCAGCGAAGGTAACACTAAACATTCAAAACAGAAGAAGACAAGGCATCGATGCGATTCTTCAAAAGATGACATTCCTTACGTACCGTGACGATGTCCAATAGAAAAGGGTTGAATRAAGGAAAAAATCGTTTCTCTGTATGATCAATGATGATTTTTATGCGTTCTACGAAGTACACAAGAAACCAAAGTCGGGAACGTCTCTCTGGGCCAAACAAAATACGGACGCTAGCTGTGACAAAAAGAGACCTATTTCTTTCYCGCAGTCGGAATCGATTCGACGGGTCATTTCTATTCGTGATATGGAATTGGTGCCACGCGTTGGAGGTATGCATTGCGCTAACAAGGGTGATATGGAATTGGTGCCACGCATTGGAGGTATATWTTGCGCTAACAAGGGAATGCTTTTCATGAATTATCCCTGGGGCTTCTACTATGGCTTTGACTCTTTTGTTATCAACTTGCAGTGCCGTTTTTCTGATGTCGCAAAGACGGAAAACAATTTTCTCGCATCATCGCTTRAGCTCGAAATGAAGTTCCTTGGGAACGACGCGCAGTTGTGATGCAGTCATTCTTCATATAAAGAAGACGGTGTTGTACGCTACACCAAGAGCGATCGCTTTTGCTTGCGCTGATGAGGCTAGCATCTCAATGCCGTCCCGGGAACGAMGGTTTTGTCCTCGTTCCTCTGGTTAATCGGAACTAATTAAAGGTTCTGTGGGAGAGGCGCGCAGTCTTATGTGATCCCATTTTTGGAACAGAAGCAGTACGAATCCTTGGTCCCTCCTTCTCAAACCCAAAGAAGCGATGGCATACTGAGTGAGGGGCTTCTTCAGTAACGGGTTCACGGCTTAATCAGTAAATGATGACGAAGGTTTTACTACTGTATTATATCTTTCGAACATTCTGTTYATTTGTGATCTCTGGCTTATTGTTCGTATCAAGCCTTATTTGTTTTTACTGCCTGTTTATGCTTCGCTAGTTACCTATACAAGACTAGGTATTGCGATTTTGGTTCGGAAGGAGTCTCATCCGTCTGAGCTTTTSAGAACAAATTAACGCAAGCTCTTCGCTCTCTATTTTGTCATGATATTATTAATATTATTACGAAAATGTATTGTCACATATGCTTCGCAAGTTGCTTATGTAAGATTAAGAATTGCGATTTTGGTACTGTACTTCTCCAAGTGGATAATGCCATCTTCCAGCAAAGAAGAGAAATCCACGATTGATTTCAGTCAAAAAGTGAAAAAACTGACTCCAACAGGAAATAGCCCGAAGTGTAAATCGCTCCTTTTATTTTTTTAGGGAAAGTGCTTCATTCTATTCTTTTAGGGAAAGTGCTTCGGATAGTGGTTCACTTCGTTCGTATGCTTGCTAGCTAGTCATAGTAGTACGAGTACCACAATAGTACTAGTACTAGCTGGSACTTGTAGTTGCATCACAACAAATCGGTTTTAGATTCCTTGTTTGATTGTTGTGCTTTCTTCCTCTTGTTTCCCCCGGAATATTAGTACGTACCGGTGCGTAATAGTACTACCGACCGGGAGTAGGATTAGGTGCGTAACGTTTCTCAYAGCGAGATATGATACGCACCTATTTGGTGCGATAAGCTCTCGATCGTTCTCATTTCAATAATGGTACCGGTACTGCRCTGTACGGTTCGTACTTCGTAGTACGAGTACGAGTATGGTACTCGATAACACAGCTGCCGGGACGATCATTGCGCGCCAAACGCCAGCCGGACCGCAACTCCTGATAAGTGCGCAATCCCACCATACAGGTAAGGAGTGCATAGGATGGATGTACATGGGGTACGTAGTACGGATGGTACGAGTACGTAGGGTAGATGGCAGTGAATTGGTTCGGAGCTACTCGTCACGTGCTGATACAGTAGCGTACTTCGTACTTCGGTTATTTAGTACGATTACTTCGTACCGTACTCGTACTTCGTAGTAGTATTTTCTACTTCTATTATTACGAGCACTGAGTAATGTGCGTTACGAGTACGAGATGAGCATAGGGTAATCGCAGTGGGTGATCGTACGAGTATTAGTATAAGTACTCGTACTCGAGGACTCCGGTGGCAGTACGGTATGAAATACAGAACGATACGATACGATAACGTATGATACCGTATGCCTTTCATCGACAACAAAAACAAAGCGAGTTTGAGTTGTACCTTGACAAAACAAAAACAAGTTGTGAACAAACGAGCAGGATGAAATCTGCCGATGTGATTGGTACTCGTACAACCACAAGTTCTCGCTCGCGTGACGACAAGAACAGTGCTCTGTCGCGAAGAAGCAGCGGACATCRAGAAGAAGACGAGCACCGCATCATCTCGGCCGTAAAACGGGGGCTAAAGAAGTCCAGGTCCAAATCCAGGAAAGAGAATCGGAGTTGGAGTGGGAATCCAAATCTGTTCGAGAGCCAGAGTCGTAGAGCACGGCAACCACAAGCGCAGCCGGCATCGCCATCGCCATCAACAACGGCCTTAGCCACCCATGATTTCACGAAGACGCATAGCAACAGGAATAGCAATAGCAACAGCAACAGCAACAATGTAAGCAACAATGTAAGCAACAAGAACAGTAGCAGCAGAAAAAGCAACGGTACGCATGTGCACGCCAGCAGCAAAAGGGGAAAACGACCAACGACCTCCAGGAACGCATATGCATATGAATATGCATCCCCATCCGTTCACTCCGAAATGGAAATGGAAACAGAAATAGCCCTGGTATCGGACGACGATGATGAAAAAAGAACCGAAACCGCTACCGAAACGGAGACCGAGGCCGACAGCGACGCCGGCTTTCATGGATTCCTCCACCGCCTCGTATTCGACGAATCCATCACGACGGCTTCAGTAGAAGACCAGTACAACTACATCGACGATGTTAGCTACGGCGGTAGCGAAAACGAGAGCCAGAGCGAGAACGAGAGCGAGAACGAGAGCTCGTCATCTTCCTCGGCTTCGACGTCGTCCTCCGCGTCATCCTCCGCATCATCGTCCTCCTCTCTCAACCACATGCTTGGCGACCTGGACGCCATTCCCTCCGACCAAGATTCCTACAGAAACCGGAACGACACCTCATACGCAAGCAGCAGCAACTACACCTCTTCTAGCGGTGAAATAGAAGCCGCTACCGAAGTTACCTACAATCACTACGACGACGACAACGACAACGAACAGCGAGGCCGGCGCTACTCGAATCGCGGGTTCGAATCTTCCTCGAGGGCGGGCCGGGAAGTCGTCGCCCTGCTCCTCTCGTCCGATCGAAGCGGGGTCGCCACCCTAGATGCCCAAGCCTTGGCGACGGTACCCATGACCATCGAGCAGGCGAGGACCGTGGTGCAACCAATCGCAGAGGCGATAGCAAGGAGTACGTCTCTCCACACACTCGTATTCACGGGGCCCTGGAACTTCAACGACTGTAACAACGCCGGTAACAACGCCGGTAACAACGCCGGTAACAACGCCGGTAACAACGCAGGTAACAACGTCGGTAGTAAGCAACGACCACAACCACAACCACAAATACACACACACACGCACGCACGCACCCTAGAATCACGAGCCGAAATGCTCGGGACAATCCTCAGCGACGGCCTTCTGCCGAATACTTCTGTCCGCACTCTCGTGCTGGAGGGAAACTATTCTTTCGATCGTTACGCAGGCAGCATCTTTGGAAACCTTCTGCGGCTYCATCCAAGAATTCGTCGGTTGGAGCTCCGAAATTGCTGGTGGCAATGCCAATCTCCATCCCATACCAACTCGAATTCGAATTCRAATTCRAATTCAAACTCGRAGGCGACTTCAAACCATCAACACTCGAACGGATCCTCCTCGTCGGGCTGGAACGCGCTACTGTTGGGACTCCAGCACTCCAAATCGGTCAAGGAATTGTCACTCGAAAACCTTCCTCCGAACGGTCTTTCGGATAGCGACTTGGATGGAATATCCCTCACGATGGGCTACCTGCRACTGGAATCGCTCCGGTTGGTGGGGGTCGGTCTACAAACCATTCATCCAGAATCACTGGTGGTGTTCTTCCGGGCGATCCAGGAAACTCCATCGATCAAGGATCTAGATCTATCCAAGAACGTGCTGGAGGGAAGGAGCAGCCATTCCTTGTTCTTGTTGTCCCGGTGCCTGTCCGGAGCCACGGTTGACCTATTTCAATGCCATCGTCATGGTCATGATCGCCACCAGACCTACGCCACGAGGAGTGCCTTTGCGTATCATCGGGATGACTGCTTCGAAGTACACCACATCGAACGATTGACCCTCGTGGATTGCGGAATAACACGGACCTCTGATTTGAAAACGCTCACGTCAGCTCTGAGCAGTACCAGTGGCAACACCAGTAGCAAGAGCAAGAGCAAACACCCAACACAGGCCGAGAAGAACCCCAATCGCCTCAACGATGCCACGATCACGAGTTCTCTCGACGTGAGCGGGAACCGATTTGGAAACGCCGGAGCCAAGGTCTTGCACGAATGGATTTCGGCGCACCCGAACGTCAAGGCGCTCGGAATGCTTTCCTGCAACGTGAGCGCAAAGCACCTCAAGATCGTTTCCGATCGGCTCCGGTACAACAATTCGTTTTTACAARCGATCGGATTGGGTAGCGAAATGTCTCTGGCCATTCTAGACTCTGTKTCGACCATGGAAAACGTCTTGGGYGGTGTGGTAGGGAGCGGTGGCACCAGCACGGTCGGAGGGGCTACGCCAACATAGACGCAAACCACCAAAAAAGGTTCTGGTGATAGTATTACACCCATTGTTTTCACTCGTTGCACTTGTAATGTAACACTACYTACGTGGTCAAATTAGTCCTTCGGATTACTGTTGAACTTCCCTCTGACTTTTGATGGTTTGCGTCACTGGATAATTGTTAAAATCCAGAGGAATGTAACATTTTAGCCATCGCATTGGGGGGCAAGGRATAATGAGCAAATAGTTGTAAATTACATTTTGAATGGATAGCATGGCTGCAAAACGCATGAAGAGTTTTATATGATAATTGTCATTCCCGATTTATTGAATCTTCGTCATCTTTGTAGAGTCRACTATTGCATGTTCGACCCTGCCCTGAGCACACGCAGTCAGTTGGCATTGCACCGATCATCGTTTTGAGAGATAGTTATTTTCTTCACAGGRAGGTTTCGGAAGCTTCCATATCTCGYCCTTGCACAGATACACTTTCAAAGCAGCGCGCTGTCGTGTATCGCAGCTATGGTATGAGCAAATGGCACGGAATGCCAAGGGTGCAGGCGTKYGATGGAAGGAAAGGTGGAGCACCGCCGCATGATTCCYTTCTTTTCAACAGTGAATYCCGACCAGTGGTCTTTATTAAGAACAGAGGCAACAGCTGGGAAGAGGATACACAAACACCCTGGTGGGTCAAATCGGAAGAATAATGTTTCCTCTGCCCATGTTCGGCAAAGAATAGTACCAAGCTTCCGTGTTTTTGTTTCTTTCTGATATCGGGGCACGTAGTGCCGTCGGGAACACATCCAATGACGGACCGCAGCGCAGAAKCCTTGGTCGCTAGATACGGGATCGCACGCAAGATGGGGCTTGGACTCGGCAAGGCAAAAGATTTGATAGCATATATGATGCTGAGGGATGCAGTCCGAGATTTTTCTCATCCTCTTCCGTTTGATACGATGGATACGAATCATAGTAATTGTGGTACGGGAAATTCGTACCGATACCACCCTATTTTCCATCACGAGTAAAAACAGAAGTTCTCATTGTACATTGTACGGTACGGTACAGTACTCGGAACCATCAGAAGTTCCCGCACCCCCAATGTGCCAAAAGAACTTTCGTCATCAGTGAAGGCTATTGAAACAGGCAGGGAATACCGCCAGGAATTTATGCTACGTACTCGTAACTACTGCATCTACGTGAAGTACGTTCCATGAAAAAGTAAGGAACGAGAAAACGGTTTCTTGACAAACACGTCCTTCGACTCGCCTCGACGTCAGCCTGTAGCGTACGGCTGAGAGGATGTATGGTACTACGTACGGGTACAAAAGCTCGCACTCGTACCTCCGAACGATACGACAAAGAATGGAAAGATAGAAAGCGCAGAAAGATCCTACAACCTGAAGGTATGCAGTTTGTACCGTACCGTACGCAAGGAAGCTACGGTATCACAAGGAGTACTCGTGCCGCACTTCCGAGTATGTCCAGAGGAAGTACGGTACGACCACTACTTCTACCTGTAACAGTGTGTGAAAGGAAAGACTTTCGTACTACGTACTGAAACAAATATCACAAATTGACACCTTCAGTCGATGTATGGATTTGCAACTCGTACCGCAAGAGTAACGCAAAAGGACATACGAAGTACAGTACTTCGAGCTTGTAACACGACATCTGTTACATCCATCACAAGGACGTYAAATTTGCAACAGAATATTCGCTGTTCTAGGAAACCGAGCTAAAATTCACAATGCTTCGAGTTCTAGCAATCGCCCTTCTCCTGTTGGGTTCGATACCTGCCTCTTGGAAGGCCACCGCGGACGACCTGCCCGATGCGGCAGGCTCGGTCATTGACGAGAAGCCGGAACCCGTCGACTGCCAATCTCTGCACTACGATTGCCACGGTTGCCTCGCCAACGGATGCTATTGGTGCCCTACCGACGCCCTGTGTTTCGAAACGCCCAAGTACGTATCGAAACAAACCAACAAGGATATTCTCTATCCCGACCGCATTCACAACTGCAAAACGCCCGAATCCTTCACGCAGACAACRTGCACGGCCCCGGGAAATTTCTTCAGCGATCCCGTCTACTCGGCCCAAAAATGGATCTTTGACAACATTAAGGTCGAACCAGTCTGGGCAAAGGGTTATACAGGAAGCGGCGTAAGGGTTCGAGTCAACGATGCCGGAATCCAACCCGATCAYCCCGAGTTTTTGGGTCGCATAGACCTGAATGCTTCGTGTCCAGTTTACGAGCYGGACGCGAGTAAAAATAGTCACGGAATGATTGTAGCCTCTCTGGTCGGGGCGACTGCTAACAACGGTAGGTCTTTGACACTYGTTTTGGTAATCGGGTTGGGCCTTGTSTTTGGGTCWAAGATTGGTCAGATTTGTCTTGCTGTTGCATCGTGAYGCAATCGACTGCCATAGTAACACCACTCGTAACACGACGCGAAAAGCTCGGCGTAAATCGTCTTCTCACTTTTGCGATGGCTGCCTCGCCGGTCCTTTTCGATTCTTGGGTCACTATCATCGCTCTCCATCGATCCGAAAGACAACTGCGGCGTCGGAATCGCCCCCGGCGTCACRCTTTCCGCCTGTCACGTGGGTTCAATGCCAAAAGAAGCACTGTTGCTCTACAAGGTGGACGAGATTGACATCTCGCAAAACTCGTGGGCCACCGAAGGATGCGGGCCTGCCTCTATTTCAGCGGCATCTTGCAACCATCCCGGATGCGACCGCAAGCTCGAAGCAGAAGCAGAAGCAGAAGCAGAGACAAGCTTCTGTCCATTTGCATACAAACCCTTCGAATCGTACAACCAATTCCCTTGCGATCACTGCAACTTTACTGTTGGTGTCCCCTATTCCGATCAGGGAGAAGAGTGCCGAACAATGATGATCAAGCACTGCAGTTTTTATCCCGTCCAAGAAAACAAAGCGTGCATGGAAATAATAGATCTGCTTTTATTCGATAAACAACCACTATCGATGGGGGAATGTCACTTTGGGGYGTTGTCGGCAGACGCCATAGCGGCCTTTACCTATGGCATCACTAAGGGACGAGATGGCAAGGGCATTGTTTACGTCTTTGCGGCTGGCAACGAATTCGCCGTGGGAGATGACACCAACTTTCAGGGTTACGGGTCGAACACGCGGTTCACGATTCCAGTGGCATCAGTCGGAAAGCCAGGAAACTTTTCTGCCTTTTCAACGCCTGGGGCGTCGGTTTTCATTGCCGCGCCTGGGGGAGATTCGAAGCAATCCATTACCCGCGTCGTCGGTGCMACAGTGGACGGGGGTTGCAATGACAATGGTGACGGAACTAGTTACGCTGCCCCCGTCGTGTCCGGTGTTGTAGCATTGGTGCGTGAGCTTGCTTGTGCAAGCGTTTGTGCAAATCCTTGTGCACGCGGTTTTGTTCGTTCGAAAGCTTGCAAACAAGCCTTATGGTTCTTGTAACGCTTGCGCTAAGACAATGTACCAGTGTGTGCTCACACCATTCTTTTCTGCTCAATCGTTTGTTTCGTGGCCCTGCAGATGCTYGAGGCGAATCCGGATCTGACATGGCGAGATGTCCAATACATCCTTGCCCTTACGGCACAGGTGGTGAATGACAGCACCGACCCAACCGTTGCAGAGAATGGTGCTGGTAAGATCCATTCGAATCGTTACGGCTTTGGTATTGTCAATGCAGAGAAAGCGGTGGAACTCAGTGAGGAATGGACGAATATCGGACCRGAATTAATGTTGGTGAAGGAAGGCAAAGGCAACGTTCACCTCCCCGACGACGTCAACAACGCTACCAAARTTTCGCTCGATTTCAGCCACGAAAGTAAATTTATCACCGAACAYGTCTATTTGTACCTAAATTTCAATCACTCTTCTCGAGGRCATTTGCGAATTGATCTAWCCTCCCCCTCGGGCATGCTCTCGGTGATGTCTCCTGGAAAACGTCCTGAGTCACAGCAGTGGGGATGGATGAAGTTCACATCAGTTCGCCACTGGGGTGAAGATCCAACCGGAAACTGGACCATTCAAATCGTTGATACTAMTGCGGGAGACGTCARKAATTGCATTAGCTACAAAGATTACCGAATCGAAGTGGATGAATTTTCGTCTTTGAGTTGTGATGGGAAGGACAGAAYCAGWCTWGAGCAATATTGCAAGAATGGCAAATTTGATCCCAATGAGGAATGGGCTAAGGCTTGCAACAACACSGACAAAAAGACGGCGGACGCCAACCTCGTTTCAAGCTGCGACTTCGTGGAACGCTTCAAAACCGAGAAAAACGCTGGGCTGACGGGTCCCGAGGCCTGCTGCATCTGCGGGGGCGGATTTAGCCCCGACTTGTTGCCGGAGGAGCTTTTGGAATGGAAGTTGGTCATCTATGGACATGAAAAATTTSCTGGGGAAGGTTTCTTCTCTGGAGTTGAAGGTGCAACAGAGCTTGGAAAATGGAAAGACCGAGGAAGGGTTTACGTTGAGGATCGCCTCAGAATCCCCGATGRTMTTGATCCCCTGCCAGGCTACCAAAAGCCAAACTCGAATGTGAGGCGCAGAGGAGTTTAAAGTGYGGGATACTTCTCCTTGGGACTGCCGTCCGTGACGACAATATCCTTGTAGCAAGTAAGTATTCAATAGACTGCTTCATCAAATCGATTGCGAATCCCATTCTTTCGTAACGTACTGTGGTAAACAACCCAGAGCACTACTGGGAAGCGAAATCGAGTTGGTTCTGTCGACACARCTCGTGTTTTTGTTTTAAAAACACGTGTATAGATGAGTTCGTATCTCATTRGTAATGCCCCATACCTCATTAGTAATGRCATCTAGTTTATGACTYTGAAAATTGTCGAGAGCGAGTGAAGTTCCGATGATGTTTCTCTCATTTCTCCGCGCCAGAGTATTGTTTGTGCACAATACTTCTAGGTGATGATTGTTGCCACTAGTACTAGCAGAGAAGCATATGATTTGTGGCTTGGTGGCCAGCACTCCACACAATAAATACCWTTGCTATCAAGTGAATAGGAAACTATTGAATGGTTCAAGACTTCTTTGCGCGATTTTAAAATAAGTCTGCCTTCCTACAAACTACTTCTAATTTGTCGTTCTCAATGATTACCCGCGCTCGACGAAYTGACAAATTGCTCGACGATCATCAGAGATTCGACGCCTCTGAGGATACAGTAACTCGTACGAGTACGGATACGTCGAACGAAAAGTACGGTGGTAGTTTAAATTTTGAATTTTGCATACGAGTACCCGTACCATACCCCCCCCGTGGACGTTTACCGGAACCCATTTCTCATTTCCTCATCGGAAGTAGAAATACTTGGTACGGTACCCACACAGTACGGTACCTKGTACTTGGTACTCCTACCCTAGTCAATTGTGAACTCATGTCATTTCATTTCCCGAGTTTGGAAACTCATTTCCTTGGGAGTAATCAAAATTATGCCGTTCCGTAGGACAACTCTCTCTCAACTGCGACTGCAATCGCAATCGCAATCGCAATCGCAAACGCAAACGCAATCGCAAACGCAATCGCAATCGCAATCGCAACCAGGTCCCTGCGCGAATCGAAGCACAATGACATCCATCTACTCAGCCGCTAAGGCAAGAAGGGAATCACAACCGAAACAGGAGCACCAACAGCAACGGCGGCGGCGTACAGGCAAGCGCAATTTCGTTGTTGGAAGCATCGCCATACTCCTCGGTTTGTGCTTTACGGTGGAGAACATTGGCTGGTCCAAATCGATCGCTAATGAATTGACCAGCCGGCATTTCCAAGAAGACGGAAACGGATTCGGGTATAACTCGAGAAGCGCCAGAGGAGGAGGGTCGGGATCTGCGTCTGCCTTCTGTTTGCTCATAAAGGACGACAACGACATTCTACGAGAATGGATTGCCTATCACTACCACGTTTTTCGCATGCGGCGATTGATCGTGGCAATTGATCCGGACAGCAGAACCTCCCCTCTAGAAATCTTGCGGTCCTGGACTAGTGAAAACTCCCACGAGGGTCGGTTTCACCTTGATTTCACTCTCTGGAAGGATGAAGACTACACGCCGGAGTTTTTCCACGGGGAAGAAAAAGATTACTCAAAAATACCCATCTCGGTCGGCCAGGAGGTTACTTTCGAGGAGAACGAGGGCGTCGGTTCCAATAGCGCAAAAACAGCTGCCGACATTCAAAACAGACCCATTCTTAAGACGTATTGGCACCGGAACGAAACCTATGCCAAAGAAAATCAAGATGAGGTCWTACGCAGTACGCTTCTAGTCAACAACCACCGGTTTCGGCAAAAGAATTTTGTCAGCGAGTGCTTTCGTAAGATCAAAGAAGAACAAATCGTTCAACAGCACCAAAACCAGAAGCAGCAAGACGTTGTTTCGTGGACCGTTCACATCGACACAGACGAATTCTTGGTGCCCAATCCATGGATTACTTCCTACGTTGCCAGCAACGCAAGCAGGAGCGAAAACAATTCCAGTACACACGGACACAAACAAGAGAACCCTGCATTCCGGAAATCGACTGGTTTCCGCATGCGAGAGCTGGAATCATTCTATCCCAGGCTGCCTTTGGATGRTTCCTTGTGGACTTTTTTCAATAATTATCTGGGCACAGMRGCCAAGCGTTATGGCGCGTGTGTCATGATGCCACGAATATTGTTTGGATCAAGGGAAGAAGGTGACGGTGCTTCCACCACGGCAACGGAAACATTAAGTGCTCGCAGCACTAGCAACACAACCGATACGATAATAGCTTCGTGGAACCACACCAAGTTCGAATCTCTCAGGTGGAAGTACCACACCGATTTCGAGTCAAGCAACGAACGACCAAAATCCATGGTGAACGCCGGGCTGCTGACTTTGCCACAACCACGCGCATTTTTAGAGAAAAACCGCGGAGAATCGATTTTTCGTGGCAACAAGCTTGTCCGGAGCATCCACAGGCCCTTGAAAAACTGCCCGGGTGAACCCAAGATCATCTACAACACAAGGCACTACAACCAACCGTTGGCGGTCTTTCACTATCTGGGCTCCCTCGAGCGCTACATGAAGCGGCCGGATGTGCGACGGGACCCGGTTGTCTATCACCGGTACAACAGTAGAGCAAATTCTGCCATTGGGGATCTGAACCATAACGCCAGCGAACCCAAGAACGATACCGACAACGACATTCACCGTCCCCCCAGGTGGATGGCTGGCTGGCTGGACGAGTTTGTCAAAACCCACGGGGCAGAAGCCTCCTTTTCGGTTCTCGGTGAAACCTATGGATCCCTCCGWAGAACTACACCAACATCGTTGGAAGCACAGAAATCGGCGWAGCAACTCGCGCTGTTCGACGCATGACATGACGTYTTTCCCCCGATCAATGGTTTAGAATCTTTCGTGTTGCGCTTGGGTGCGATGTTTCCCTCGCCCTTCCTTGGYGTACGCTGAGGCAAGGCAGATAAATGCACGAAAGTATGGTTATCCCATACATAGGTATTGTTCGTTGCAGATTGTAATCGAGCAGATGTTCATGAMCAATGTACAGTTGTTCGAAATAAATTAAGTGATACTGCGTATGGTACGTACTTTTGTTAGCTTCCCKCGGCATTTTTCTCGTCATATCGGTACCCGTACTTTTGCACAKCTACCTAGGACGGACAGGGCTGTGCCCACACCAATTTATTTCCCTGATGCATCATCAACGGTAGCGTGATCGGCGGAAAGAACAACGACGCAAGCACGATCCTATGTATTCCATACGCTGCCGCCATGAAGAGAACAAACGTGCCGTAGAGGAACTTACTACGAACCTCCCGAGTCCAACATCATACGAGTAGTTTGTTGGTGAGGCAAGGTGATCCGCCTCTAGAAGACCCCCTCCAGACTTTGACAAGGTGTCTCGTATGTTTAAGGAGCAAAGATTTATGTTGGAGTACCGATGTTGCAGCCTTTATTCTTCTTGCMTTCGTACCGTACTTCAAGGAATAAGAGTCCTATTCTCTARAGCTTGCCCTGTTTTCGAGTTTGTTGACCGGKGGGTCTAGCAAAGCACTCGTACCAGCATTGTTTGGCGCTACACAACGGACAGGACACTGGCTCGTATGAAAGRAAAATTAGGATGCAGACAGGCATGCACCAGGCTCGTTCGACACGTGTTCGAMGTTCCCGGGAAGGCAGAAGTAATGTCAAACCCTGGSGTCTATTGAACGAAATCAATACAAACATAACGASTTTCGACCAGTTGGCATCAACTCTCTATCATCAAACTATAGTTACATGTTATATAAACTGTATATTACTGTGCATCTCGGTAGGTGCGTGTAGCTTGTAGTACCACATGCGTCATGGGAATGGTGAAAGCCCTCTACGYCTCGTGCAAGCGCAGGATGGCATGCTAAACGACTTGAACGTTTGACATTTCCTTTTCGGTCAAYACGCTTCTATTGTTGTTAACGTAATCAACAATATCGACGTCTTCGAGAGAGTCACCCGAAAACGATTGAGGGAATCTGCTGGTGCTGTGTTTRCTCTTGCTGGAGGCGGCTGTGGGCGATGACGATTCCTCTTCATCCAGGGCCGCTTGCACATCGTTGGTACATTCGTCTTGATATCCCGGACACAAAAGCGTTTTCAGAATGATTCCGATGAATACAGCCACCAACAGGATTACAACTGCKGAAAGTCCGACGACCAGGTTGTGTTTTTTCAARAAGGCTTTATTTTGCATCTCATTGCTGGAGGCCGGATCKGGAGCCAACGAACTGCCACCATTGAAATCGCCGTGGTTGCCTGAAAAACTCCCWATGTCTTGGTCATCGACGAGGTATTCACAGTGGTCCCCAGTGAAGCCTTCCGGACAATCGCATCCCGGTGGGTCTTCCCCGTCGTAGACCCTGCCCCTGCACAGGCCGTTGTTGACGCAAAAGGCAAAGTTGGCYCTGCCCATTCCTGGCTGTCCATTGTAGGTACAAATATCGGTCGATTGGTACTGGCAGAACTTTCCGGCGTACTTGTCCAAGGCATCAAAGGCCGAGTCGCAGTCGCAGGTGTAGTGCAAGGTGTTGTCCTCGGATTCTCCGTGTGCGATGCACTGRGATCCGTGCAGACAGACGTGGTCACCCCCTGGACAGATCTCTAGCTTGTGCTCGCACTGAACGCCAAAATAGTTATCTGGACACACGCAGTGCTCAAAGAGTTCCGCGTGGTGTGTTGCGTCGAAGTCTTTCATTCCCTTTCCAAGTTTGGCAATGAGTTTGTTGTCCTTCATGCCAGCCCGGCACATTCCTCCATTTTGACACTTGAGGCTGCAATCGTCGTCCTCTTCCTGGTGGAATTCACATGAGGGACCACTTGAGAAGATTCAAGAGAGGCGGTATTGAATTGTACGGCACGGCATAGGAGTGAGGAATCCAGTATATGTTTTTGGCGGCATGCATGTATGCATGCACAAATGCGTCCATGCAGACATAGAGTGATCCATAGAAAAGGGTGGCGAACGCATCGATTCGTGTGTTCGCGGATTGAACTCCACAAGCACAAGCACAAGCACAAGCACAAWCACGACAGACTTACAATCGATCTGATGGACAGTCGCAACCAAGGTGGGGATTTTGCGGATCTTTGCAGGTTCCGCCATTGGTGCAGAACAAGTGCCCGTTGGCGCTCTGTTGGAGGCTGCCGTCTTCATCTCTGAAAGAGTGCCCGGTGCAGCTGGCGGTTTCGGCGTTTTCGCAGTACTGGCCGGCCCAGCTGACCCAGTTGTGTCCCGCGTTGCGGCAATCGCAGGCGTAGGACGTCTCYCCGTTTTGATCCAGGGATTCTACGCAGGTACCACCGTTGAAGCAATGGGCATTTCCGCACTGGACTCCGGGGGTTTCGCAGTTGTCTCCAAACCATTTGGGCGGGCATTTCTGTGACGCACGCGTGTGGTGATGGGATTCATTCAATTTCGTTTGGTGGATGCGTGCATCGCCGTAGGTCGGATTCGGTGGAATAACAAAGGTTCCGAAACCGGGCGTAGGAAGAGGCCAGAAAGTGGAATGGAATAGAACAGAGAATGGTCAGAGCGAGAATCAACACATGTATACCGTTAAACGCAAAGCGGTGGACCGATGTTCCTCGGTCTGTTGCTCCTGACGCCAGCGTCCGACGGAACGAAAGGACGTCTCCGTCGCACAGCACAGACCCGAACAGAACAAACCCAAACACAACACACCCGAACCGCACCGAAGCGCAGTACGAAACCGTACAAAGCCGTACTCACGCAATACTGGAAGTTCCCGTCGTGGGCTTCCCAAAAATCGGCGTAGCGGGCCGATTCAAAGTCCTTGATTCCCAGGGTGCAGGTCCCGATCCCACCCAGCATGGGATTCTCGACGGTCCCGTCCTCGTGGAGTGTGGTCCCGCCGCACGACAGGGTGCATTCCGGAACGGAGTCCCTCAGAAACTCGCAGTGGATGCCCCTGTGGCCCTCGGGGCAGTCGCAGGGATGGGCCTTGGTCTCGAAGTGGTCGACACAGGTCCCATGGGCGGTGCAAAAGACGGACGATTCTTGTTKGGAATCCGGATCGTTGCCGTTGCCGTTGCCGTTGCCGATGCTGGTCCCGCCGTGGTGTTGATCGCACCGAACGGCTCCCTCGATCTCGCAGTACTTTCCGAAGTAGGGGATCCCGTTGTGGCTGGCCTCGGAGCAGTCGCAAAAGCGCTGCGATTCGTCGATGGTAGCGTGCGYACCGTCCGTCAGCCCGGAGATGCATTTTCCTCCGTGGTAGCAAACATGGTTGCCGATTTCCTCCAGGGCATCGTCGGTGGAAGGGGTGCCGGTGCTGTTGCCCTGGTCMAGGCGTCCMGTGGCCAGGTCCAGTACCGGGTCCGCCAGGGGGCACACTACGTATTCCCGGTTGCACCTTAGGCCCGTGAATCCCTCGGGGCAATCGCAGTACCAGCCCTGCCTCTGGGTGGTCTGCAGGAAGACAAAGGGAGATCCGTTGGGTTCGGTCGGATGGTCTTTGTAGTCGTGCTCCCCGAGCTTGCAGGTGGCCCCGTTGGAGCACTGGAGGGGACACTCCGGGGCGGGCGTTGGCGGCGGTGTGGAGTTCGAGAACGACGGCGATGCGGTGGGGACAAAGACGGCGGGAACAAATTCTTGGTCCGAGTCTTGCGATTGCTGCTGCTGCTGCTGCTGCTGCTGTTGCTGCTGCGCCGCAACACTTCCGACGCACAAAACGAGAAGGACCAGCGGCAATCGCACGAACAAGGACATCGAATTCGACACCGAATTCGACACCGAATTCGACACCGATGCGGACCCAGAGCCTCGCGTCCTTCGAGTCGCCGACAAATCGGCACCGGTCGTTCCTGATTCTGTTTCTGGTTCACCCGTCCTCATTCTTGTTCGGATTGCCTTTGGGGTTGGAGGGGTAGKGTGCAATGCGGTGCAATGCAACTAAATATTGGTTTGGTACGAGACGGTAGAATAGGATATCGRTCTGCAGTGATAATGTGATACTATGATTGTGTGACGGGTACAAGTAATGGTAATGGCATCAAAGCGTTTTGTGTTTTGTGAGATAAGAGGTTCAATCTGTCGTACGAGTACGAGTSTCAGGTACAGTACTGCACTGGGTACTCTTACCGGGTACGCCTTGCGAAGTAAGGATGCTACCAACAAAGGTAAGAGGACTCCCATGAACAATGGTACTCGTACTCGTAGTACGTAGTTGGGATTACCGACTGCTTCCACTACGGAAGTCGTCGGACGGTACGATACATCTGAATCTCCCACTATTCGTGTTCCGTCTGTGAAGTACCGTACCGTACCATGCTCGTACGTACAGTACTTGTAACCGGGAAGAAGAGCACGAGCAATCGTATTTCGGGCCGTGCCGGCTCCGGAAATCCTTTGTTTGAATTTTGAATTCAGGAAGGAATRAAGGACAGGAAAGGAAATGAAATCCATCGACCCGACGCTACGTACGAGTATCGTACGTAACTCGGGATGATGGATTCCTGTCCGGCCGTGCACGCGTTGGACAAAAGGCGCCAAATTCCAACAAGGAGTGGTTTGAAGTTCAAAGTTCAAAACCAAACGAACCAAACTATCGGTACGAGTGAGTCGTACATACGAGTACCAAGTAAATATGGTACGAAGTACCAAGCCAATTGATACATACATACATACATACATACATACATACATACATACATACATACATACATACATACATACATACATACATACATACATACATACATACATACATA